CAAATTCCCAAATTCCTAAATTCCCAAATTCCTAAATTTCTAAATACCAACATTCCAAAATTCCTAAATACCAATATTTCTAGATATCTAAATTTCAATATTTTAAAATATGTAAATTTCAAAATTCCAATATTCCAAAATTTGCTAACCTGAAGGTTAATTCTCCTCCACTTAAATCTTGCATGTTTGACGTTAACGCGTTGATACACGCGATATAATTCGTAGTCAAAGACACGTCCACGGTAGTTTACGGAGATAATTGAATCTCGTGACGGAACACTTTAGCAATTTCATAGCAAGACTGCGCGAGTTTCAGGAGTAAGCATGTGAAACGTAAAAAGAGAATCACCGGTTACGCGTTTTCTTGGCACGTTTCCATCGTGTATCTTGGAACATCGAGAGAATGGAGACTGCCCGTTGGGTGGTCCTTAATTAACTTGTTTCTTTGTATACTTGTATACGGTTTCGAGCATGACTGCACAAATTCTGTTACACTTAACACGATACCCGAAACTGTTCTATCTTATGATTCTGACGAAAATAAACTCTGAGAAATTGAGCTTTTTAAAATATTTTTTCGCACCTTTATTACTGGGGTGCACCTCTGTTATATGAAACAAAAATTCGTGAAACGTCAAATAAGTATGTGATGTTTAAAAATTTTACAATTGTGAAATTCTAGAATTTGAGAATAAAAATTTGAAGTATACGAATTTGAAAATTTGTAGAATTCTTAGATTTAATTTGGATGATTGGGAATTTGGAAATCTGTAAATTTCCAAATCTGTACATTCAGAAATTTGATAATTTAGAAATTCACAAATGTATATATTTGTAACTTCAGAAGTTTGAAAAATGGAAAATTTGCACATATAAAAATTTCTGTACTCCACACTTGACAATTTTTGAATCTACAAATTCTTGCCTTTAACAGTTTAGAGCTTCGAAAATTTAATTTGAAGAGGTGCAAATTCATAAACCCCAAAAAAAGTGAAAACTAGAACTATCCCTCTTTGACTAGTACCCATGAATGCTAATAGGTCAATAAATAAGGGGAACATGGTTGTTTCTAATCGAAATGCCAGGAGGGTTGCATATTTTATAGTTTCGCAATCCTTATTCAAGATTGCCCTTTTCTTGCTTACACAAGTTTCCCTCTGCATCTGATTTTTCCAGATACTCACGTACTTTTTTAAAAAGATATTTCTAGCTACGGAACTGAATAAACAGTCAATGTCTGTTGGTGGCTTCCGTTGTTTACACGGTAAATTAATGTCTCTTGCAAATAGGTCTCTGGTTTATTTAAGAAGATGCTTTGATTAGAAACTGCAAATGTACATCATAACGGAGGTACCACATTATGGAACTGAATTAAAATGATTTCTCATGAATCGTGTAAATTGATTGCATTGAATGATACTTTAAATTTTTATTTTACTTTTAATTTTTACTTTCAATTTTTAGTTTTAATTTTTACTTTTAATTTTTACTTTCAATTTTTACTTTTAATTTTTACTTTTAATTTTTACTTTTAATTTTTAGTTTTAATATTTAGTTTTAATTTTTACTTTTAATTTTTACTTTTAATTTTTAATTTTAATATTTAGTTTTAACTTTTACTTTTAATTTTTTCCTTCAATTTTTAGTTTCAATTTTTACTTTTAATTTTTTACTTTTAATTTGTACTTGAGTATTTTATCAAGTTATGAACTCTCTTTGGTCGAATGACAAGTTCTACTCATCAGATATATGTATTCATCATTTTGATGGACAATTAAGTTGTATGTTGATATTCTTTTCCTACATAAAAATTTTATGATACATAACGTATTAACTAATTAAAGCGACACTAATTTTAATATTCAAAATAAGTGAAATAAAAATTGAACATAGAGTAAAATTGATAATTCGATTTGCCGAGTTTAAAAAATATTTCCAGAATTATTCTAAATGGTGAAAATTTCATCCTCGATTTAATTTCGTCAAAAAAGTTATCAATTTTACCACCCGTTTCTTGGAACCCATTTATCGAAATCTGATTTTTTCATAATCTCTGATTAGTCTTCTGTCTTGGAGAAGGCTTTACGTAATGTCGTTAAAATATACTGAATCTAATCTAATCGTAGCGTGACGTTCTGTTGATTTCAGATCGTCAAACCGTTCAGAACACACCATGGCCTTCGATTCCACGGAAAGGAAAACTGTACCCGTAGTCTGAGCAATTTTTCCTTCGAGAAGGATATTAGTTCTTCGAACTCTTGGCTCGTTCTTAAAGTTTTTTTGAGTGGCGAATAAAGAACAAGAAGACCGAAGGACGACGAGTGAAGGGAAGAAAACGGGAGCGAAGGGTTTTGCCAATTACTGCAGCTCTGGAATAAGGTAAGACGGCCACATTTTGAAATTTTAAACAACTTTCAGATGTTACTTCTGAGCAATTTCGTCTAAGTTTTCTTTTATTCGGGACTAGGAACTTTGACTTCCTTCCTGATTTCGTATTTCTTATTCACGCGGTTCTTTCATGAATTTTAGAATCTCAGTTTCGTTGCTTTCTTTGACAATGAACGTTGTTTATATCTCTGCTAACGGAGAAATGCAGGTATACCTAAGTTTTTAATGTTGCGTTGGGTAAAGTTGCTGAGTGCAAACTTTAGTTTTCTTTTATTGCTTTATTCGAATAAGTTATATATTTTATATTTTTTTTTTTGTATAATTTTAGCTTTTACTGAAGGTTTATGGTTCGGATGTTTAAAATATATTTTGAACACTTTCAAATTTATACATTTTCAAGTTCTGAAGTTTTACAAATTCTCAAATATTTAAATTCCCAAATTTCCATATTCTCAAATTTCTAAATTCCTAAATTCTCAAATTCGCCTTTCAAGTCTCCAAATTGTCAAAGTTTTAAATTTCCTAGCATGGGAATTCCTTAGGGATCCTAGGAACCGTAGTTTCTAAGATTAGGTTAGTTCCTAGGGTTCCCGATGCCGCCCGAACTTCTCCGATTTCTTCCGAACTTTTCCAATTCCCCAAAGCTCACTCAGAACCCAACATCCAAGTGATATTCTCAAAATTCGCGTATGTTTAAGTGTATCTTCTTTCGCACACGAAATGAAGTGCTCGATTGAAGCACCTTTACGTTGACAGGTCACGTGCGCGTAGTCAGGTTTAAGATGTTGAGATTTAAGGTCACGTACAACAGAGTAGTTTGAAATAACACGAGGGACAGTTTCGTCCTCTCGCTTTTCTGCTGTTGACAACTATTGACTCCATTTATCTCTCTCTGTGTCTTACTTTATGCTAACGTTTCGCACGTGACGCTTCGAAATGAGCTGCGTTCTCCACGAGAGAATTTTACGTGTCACGTTCAAGGATTTCTTCGCTACTAACAAATCTGATAAATTAAATAAATCGTAATACTTTTGATATACTGACATTTTTATAGGATGTTCGATATCATGTTCCTTTAAAGAACAAGAAATATTTTAAAAGTTAGATTTTGCAAGGTATTGTGAAGATAGGTTAGGTTAGACTCGTCCATTTTGTAGAGGAGACATGATCACGTTTGCTTTTAAATGAAATTATATGTTTTTTATTGTAACTAGTTTCTCTGAAATGTATATATTTTGCTGTGTTATTTTTCTTTATTAAACAGGCATTTAGATTAATTTATTTTTACTTCACCTAAATAATGAAGAGTGAAAAATGATCTACAAAAATGATGTACAAAATTTTGTGCACAAGTAGTGGCAAAGATAATGAACATATACAAGACAATAAATAAAATGTACACTAACACTAATATACCAGTATACAATTTGAAATAAAAAAATGCACAAAGATTAAATACAATTATATGCACATCAATTTCTAATCTTCAGCATTTCAAGAGAAGTACAAATTTTGTAATTTAAAATAAGAAACTCGTGAACCGGTTGTTTAACCGGTTTGGCAGTTTTAGTGTTAACGAAACGAATATAAATGTATCTTGTATGCACAATCATTTCAATCTGAAAATTAGTTAAACTTCTATGGAAAGTATCAGTACGTGTTAGTATAATAAATAAAGGTTTAATTATTTCAGTGTGAAACGTTCGAATGAGATAGCAAAACGTGTTCGTCAGTGAACATAGAATTTTCGATCTAGATAACCAAGAAGTACTTGGAGTTTAACAGAAGATCGATTCATATCAATTTCACAGTTGCCGAAACGAAGGCTGGCAGTTGCGAAAGCGCAACAGTCTGGTGATCCAGTTTTCACGGTTCTGGAATGCTTCTCGTAATATACGATGCCCAAAGAACGTACGAAAACCTCCCTCGGGATTTATGCAGCATTTTTGTGGTACTAGGACGGTATTCTGGCTGTTAGTTCCTCTCTTAACTCGCGCTGGAAGTGCCAGCTGGAATGGAGAGCCCTCGACGATCTAAAAATGGTTTCCAGCGGCCAGGAAATATGAAGCATTTCCTTTCTGTTGGAAAGTAATTGAGAGTTCTTTGAGCAAACGAAATCGGAAATGGCCGATATGCAATCTACGATAATTACTTGTTCTGTAAATAATTTGTCGTTTTATAAGTTTCAATCTTTTACAGAAAAGTCATTTTTGCATGCTAAATTTTAAATTGAAAATTCTGTATTTTAATTTGGAATCGAATTGATTATTAACTCTTTGCTGAATTTAGAATTTATCATTTTTGCAGATTAAATTTTCAAAAATTAAATTGAAAATTTTCAATTTAAAATTAAAATCGAAATGCATAATAACTTTTTGCTGAATTTAGAATCGCATAATAATTTATAACATACAAATTACAGTTTAATCTATAATTGTATACAGAATATTCGAGCTATTCAATAATAATCAATTTGCAGAAAATTATGTAAACTGATTGAATATATCATATTTGTAATTCTATTGATACATTGTGTTTGAAAGCGGATAACTTGCACAATATTACCATCACAATTTAAAAATTTTATTTACGAACGAAAAACTTTATTTTAGTATTACGATACGTATAAATGTGATTGACACGTCGAGAATTCTATATTTTGTTGCTGTCAGAAGAGTTTTATCAAATTACTTTGATAAACGTCTAGGGGGACGGGCTTATCTCGAATTCGGAAGTACGCAGTTAATTTAATCACGATTACGTTGCCCACAATTTCTTTTGTTTCTGTAACTCTAGTATTACATCAAACACACACGATATTTCGCACACTGAAACTATAATGAGAGCGTAATGACAGCAGCGTTCTAATTTGCATAATTACGAGCTTCGGATATTTGATCATCGTTAAATGATTATTTCAGACAGCCGTGCGAACGTTCACAAAGGGAATAATTCGAGGTAACATGTCGGATTAAATTTCGCGTAAAATTATTTTGAATGAATCTGTAACGAAGTGTATGAGTGTTGCTGTTCTGATCTGTTTATATAAATATAAAAACAGTAAAAAAGTATAAAGTAAAAGAGACCATAGCTGAACCAATACTTTACTCTATTAAAAATATTGAAAAATCAGAAACTTTAAAATGTTGCAGTTTAAAACTTAAAATCCCTCAGGAACAAACCTATGTCTTATTCCAAGTAGAATATTTTTTGCAACTGAAAAATTATTGTAACTTCTAAAATTTCCTTTATTCTCGAATTACAGAATCTCAGAGATTGCAGAATTGAAAATACAGAAATTTAAAAATGTTGCAGTTTAAAATTTAAAATGTCTCAAGAACAAACTTATGTCTTATCCCAAGTAGAATATTTTTTCAACTGAAAAATTATTGTAACTTCTAAATTTTCCTTTATTCTCGAATTACAGAATCTCAGAGATTGCAAAATTGAAAAATCAGAAACTTTAAAATGTTGCAATTTAAAACTTAAAATCTCTCAGGAACAAACCTATGTCTTATCCCAAGTAGAATATTTTTTACGACTAAAAAATTATTGTAACTTCTAGATTTTCCTTTATCCTCGAATCCCAAATTTTCCATTAAAATAAACAGAAGTTTCTGATAGTATTTCAAAATAGTGCTAAGATGCGCATTTTCTTGCCATTTAGTAACCTTTGCAAATCGCAATACAATAGCCGTGCCAGAAACATCACGATGCGTGTCTAATAAATAACCCAGAAACGTTGCCGAATAGTTTCAACACTCGTGTTCCACAATCGTTTGTTTCGAGTTGGCCATTATTCGGTACAATCTGAATGGAACATGCCGATGCAAACACGTTAGCTACACGACGATACGGTAGCGTGTTTACGCTGAGAATGGCGTTAAATAATCGTCAAGGCAATTCGTTGTGTAAGTTAATGCGAGCATGCGAACGAGATGCGTACATCGTGTAGGTAAACAAGTACATACGTCGTTAAGATAGCCGGAGAAACGACTAATAGAATCCACGAAACACACGATTGTTTGCTTGATAATCGAGCGTAACACCTCCTTAAATTACGGCTAACGTCTGCAGATGTGACTATCGGTTAGCAATATCTTGTCGATACTGATACTCGGAGGTATATTGGTAATATCGGTGAGGTATTGCTAATGCAGATCTGGATGCATTGAATTTCACTGAAATTGCAAGGTATGTTAAATTTAGTATTACATGGTCTGCAACTCTTTGGTTTCCAGATATTGTTGAATTTGTGAGAATTTGAGTTTTGCACATGTGGGGATTTGGAACGAGAATTTGAAGAGGTTGGAAATTTACGAGTGGAACATTTCGAAGATTGAAAATTAGCAAATTTTGGGATTTGCTGATTTGGAAATTTGGGAAATTGGAAACTTGGGAAATTGGAAATTTGGGAGATCGGAAATTTGGAAAATTGGAAACTTGGGAAATTGGGAACTTGGGAGATTGGAAATTTGGGAAATTGGAAATTTGAGAATTTGGAAATTTGGGAGATCGGAAATTTGGGAAATTGGAAACTTGGGAGATTAGAAACCTGGGAGATTGGAAACTTGGGAAATTGGAAACTTGAGAAATTTGAAATTTGGGGGATTAGAAATTTGGGAAATTGGAAACTTGAGAAATTGGAAACTTGAGAGATTGGAAACTTGGGAGATTGGGAACTTGGGAAATTGGAAACTTGAGAAATTTGAAATTTGGGGGATTAGAAATTTGGGAAATTGGAAACTTGAGAAATTGGAAACTTGGGAGATTGGAAATTTGGGAAATTGGAAACTTGAGAATTTGGAAATTTGGGAGATCGGAAATTTGGAAAATTGGAAACTTGGGAAATTGGGAACTTGGGAGATTGGAAATTTGGGAAATTGGAAATTTGAGAATTTGGAAATTTGGGAGATCGGAAATTTGGGAAATTGGAAACTTGGGAAATTGGAAATTTGGGAATTTGGAAACTTGGGAGATTGGGAACTTGA